GAAAAATAAATTTAGGTGGTTTCAAGATATTCTGGCCTAATTTCACTATATTTCTGGAGTGATGCTGGCACTAGGATGAGTAGACCAACGGCCCTGAAAAGTTGAATGGGGCGTTTGTGTGCTGAAATTTGCAGTTTCGGCTTACTCAGTTTGATTGGAATAAACTGCTGAATATTTGCTACTGCTCCTTTGCCATTTTGTAGCAAAGTGTTCGCATTTACGATGAAGATCGCGTGGGCAAGCAGCCAGGCGGAGAGCAGTAGAGCCCCCGCTAGCGATTTTGCAACTTTCATTTCGGCTCTTTTCCCTGTGACCAATGGTTTAAATTTTCTCTGAATTGTTGGAAGCCAGAGGAGAGAAAAAACAAAGGATGATGATGAACGCCTCGCCTCACGGGGCGAAAGCTGCACACATTGCCTAAACGGAGGTGACTCGGCTGAAACTCTGCAGTGTTGGGGAACTTCAAAGATTCTAAGCACAGGAGAAGTTGTACAATGAAAGTGGAGAGATGAAACACAAGTTTAAGGCGGAAGAAGCATATCCTCAACAGCCGACAGAGAGGAATCCGTCAGCAGCGCAGCAACTAGCAGGTGAGCCCCCAAGCAGTGGAAAGCAGCAGCAGCACCTGCGACGAGAACATAGTGAGATTAATAAACTCTGTTTAGTATATCTGAGAAATAAATTTTGTTCCTTTTGCACCTCTATGCCTTAACTCGGCCTTTGGGCCCGTGGTAGCGAGACGCCCATTCGGCTGCGGCTGCGGCTGCGGCCCTCCTAGGTGCTACTGTTTACTGCCGCCTCTCTTTAAGTTTCTGCTAGTTATTTAATTAAAATAACAGTTTAGAGTCGCCTTAGGGTTTTTAAAACCTTTCAATTCTCTTGGCTGGTTCGGCCTTGCCGCGGTCGACACCCCTTTGTGTAGGGGCCCCCGCTAGCGTTCCGCAGCCCCACGGCTCTGTCAACGCGGAGGTGCAGGGATATATAAGATACCTCTGAATAGCAAACACAGAAGAAACAACTTACAAATATAATTTGAATCGGCTGCAATACTAAAGCACGCTGCAACACTCAGGGCCCCCCGCTACTGGGAGTTGTGGGCTCGAGAGAGGAAGCTGCACCAGGGCTCTTCCTTCTCGCACTTGTCTTGCAAAATACAACAGCCGAAGCGCCTACATCAAATTCCGAACAACCCAATGCTCGGGTTGTTCAGCAGCGGCTGCAGCAGCAGCAGCGGCAGCAGCAGCAGCAGCTAGGGGGCCCTTCCTTCCCTTCGTTTGTGGGTCCTCTCGATACTACTAGCAGCAGAGCAGAAACCTCCGCGTGAATAAAGCGGTTAGAGAAGCACTTGCTGCAGCTCACTGCTGCTGCTTCTGCTGCAGCGCATTGCTGCATCTGCTGCATCATATGAATGCTTCTGCTGCAGCTCGTTGATGCACAATGGTGCATGCAGAAGACGCAGACCCCTCTTCTGAAATATCTGAGGAGTTTATAGAGCTGCCGCCTCTGGCTTTCCCCTCCATCGGCTGTCTCCAGCTCCGCCGCATCCTCGACGTCCCCTTTGCCCTCCCCCCCGTCCCATCGGCTGCAGCTGCTGCTCAACAACAACAGCAGCAGCAGCAGCAGCAGGAGCTGCAGCAGCAGCCCGCAGGAGAGGCCAGAAGCGATGCTGACTCAGTAGTGGGGGCAGCAACTGCTGCTGGGGCTGCTGGCGCCTCAGCAGCTTCTCCGCCTTCTCAAGGGGGCGGCGTCTCTATGTTGTCTGGCTTGCTGCGGCGTTTGCTGCGACCACAGCAGCAGCAGCAGCAGCAGCAGCAGCAGCAGCAGAACAAGTATTTGTTTGTTGACCACCTGGGCTTTGAACTGCCGATATGCGGAGTGCCCCAGGCAAAACAAATATGCAGCTCATGGGGAGCAGCAGGAAGAGTACAGACAGAGAGAGGAGACAAGTGCGTCTCTGTTATCTCCTGGGAGGGTCGAGAGGTGTTCTTCTGGCTGCTGTGGCCCCCCTCGAGGCCTTCAGACACTGAAGCAGCAGCAGCAGCAGCAGCAGCAGCAACAGCAGCAGCAACAGCAGCAGCAGGAGCAAACGAGGGAGCTGCTGCTGGCTTATATATATACACCGCAGAAGAGGCTGTGTTGTCTTGCAGTCTGGTGGAGCGGTTCTCGGTGTTGTCTATCACCTACGACACCAAGCCGCCCCGCACAGAGTTGCTGCTGCTGCCGCGGCTGCATCCCCCCACGCCTCCTAGCAGCAGCAGCAGCAGCAGCAGCAGCAGCAGCAGCAGCAGGGGGAATGCTCAGCTAACACCGCAGCCACTAGTACCCCTCCGGCGGCTGCTGCTGCCTCGCGATGATGTTGTGCTGCAGTGGGTGGGGGACTGTCCTAGGGGTGTTCTCTTTTTGTGTTTTTGTTTACAAACTAAACTGGGGGCCCTCATGCTGCTGCATTCGGAGGCAATAGCGCAGCAGCAGCAGCTGGCTCTGCAGCAACAGCAGCAGCAGGAGCACCAGGAACGAGCAACAGCAGCAACATCAACAGCAGCAGCAGCAACAGCAGCAGCAGCAGGAGCTGTATTTCCCTCTCTGACCCCTGTGAAGCTGCTAGCGCGGGACTTCTCTTCTGCGTGGCTGCCGACGACACCCTTCCCCCCCTCTGCGGTGTCTGTACACCCCAGCCTGCCTGAGGCGGTGGTGGTGGGGTTCTCTGCTGAGGAGCGGTGCGCCTGGACTTGTTCTGTGTCGCTGCTATCGATGCGGCCAGAGCAAGAAGCAGACGGAGACAGCGACAACTCAGATGACGAGGATGCTGCAGCAGAAGCAGAAACAGATGCAGCAGCAGCAGCAGCAGCAGCAGCAGCAGGAAAGACACAACATTCAGAATGCCCCAGACCTGTTGCTGCTGTTCTTCCCTCCCTTGATCTGCTGCGATCTCTAGCAGCGAGACGTGCACTCGAAGCAATGGACCTTCATCTCCAGCAGCAGCAGCAGCAGCAAAAGCAGCAGCAAAAGCAGCAGCAGCAGCAGCAGCAGCAGCAGCAGCCGTGGCGTTGTGTTGAGTCGCCTGAGTCTTTCTATGGGCCTGTGTTCTTCAAGCCGCGAGAACTAGCGGAGGAGACGGAGAGGTGGCTGGGCAATAGCTACAAACAAATCAATGCTCCTGCTGCTGCNGAGAACTAGCGGAGGAGACGGAGAGGTGGCTGGGCAATAGCTACAAACAAATCAATGCTCCTGCTGCTGCTGCAACAAAGAGACGGCAACGGCTGTTGACGCACCTGCGGGATCGCCTCCTTGCGTATCCAGAAGACAGCCGACAGCAGCAGCAGCAGCAGCAGCAGCTGCAGCTGCAGCACGTGGCGATCAGCAGCTGCGGTTTGCTGCTGGCTCTGTCTCTATCCTCAGACGAGCTGCTGCTGCTGCGGCGTATACGTGACGAGCATCCAGACAGCTGCAGCAGCAGCAGCAGCAGCAGCAGCAATGCTGCTTACTATGAACCCCTGGCGTTCCTCCCCGCCCCCTTTATGTGGCACATCCGATCCCGAGCTGTCGATACACCTCAGCAGCAAACTGCTGCTGCGGTGTCTCTGCAGCAGCAAGGGGGAGAACAAACTGCGCAGCTACGCAACCGTATCCATCCCCAGCAGCAGCAGCAGCAGCAGCAGCAGCAGCAGCAGCAGCAGCAGCAGCAGCAGATATGTGATGAGGAGCTTGCATTACTAGAAGAGGAAGTGGCGCTGCTGCAGGTGGATAGACCTTCTCCTCCCCCTTTGCCTCTCTCTGCTTCTTTCTTCTCCGGCGAGGAGGGTGAGTTGCTGCTGCTGCTCTTCAGTGACAACACATCTCTTGAAACTCAGCAGCAGCAGCAGCAGCAGCAACAGCAGCAGCAGCAGCAGCAGCAGCAAGGGAGCGCAGGAGTAGACGGGGAGACGCCCGGGGCGTCCTCACGAGGGAAATGGCTCTGCGTGGCTTTTGACTTAGACAGAAACAGTTTGCTGCTGTCACCACCGCAGCAGCAGCAGCAGCAGCAGCAGCAACACGAACGGCTATCAGACCTTGCCTGGAACAGCAGCAACAGCAACAGCAGCAGCAGCAGCAGCAGCAGCAGCAGCGGCCCATGTTGGGCTCTGGTTGACGGCCGCCAGGGCCCCCCTTCGTTCCCTCTCGCTGTGTTGCATCCTCTCGGGGCTGCACAATATATAGGAGACAGCAGCAGCAGCGTGCTGCAGCAGCAAGAGGAGACGTTGCTGCTGCTCACCGTTGAGGGCCCACAGTGTCCACACAGCAGCAGCAGCAGCAGCAGCAGCAGCAGCAGCGAGAAGCAGAAGCAGCAGCAGCAGCAGCAAGGGGAGAGTTTCCGTCTGTCTCTTTCTTCTGTGCAATGCGGAGACATTGTATCGTTTGCTGCTGCAGCTGCTGCTGAGGGCCGGTGGGGTGAGGGAGAGGCGCTGCTGCAGCGTTCGTTGTGTCTTGCTCGCCGCGCCCACGAAGCAGCAGCAGCAGCAGCAGCAGCAGCAGCAGCAGGAGCAGCAGCAGCAGCAGATGAATCAACGAGAGAAATTGTTTTAATAAGATGTAAAGAAGAAGAGGAAAGGCTAGAGAAGGCGCTGCTGCAGCTGCAGCAGCAACGCTGGCAGCAGGTCGGCATGCAGCCCACCGCCACAGACGAAGACTTTCAGGTATATCAGTATATAATATTAATATATAATATATTTATTATATATATATTATATATATATATATATATATATGTATATATATATATGTATATATATATATATATATATATATATATACA